CTCTTGACCTTGTGATCCGTCTGCCTCGGCCTCCCAAAGTGCTGGGATTACAGGCCTGAGCCACTGCACCTGGCCCTGTGTTCTTTCCTGTTTGGAGACGGGGTCTTGCTTGGTTGCCCAGGCTGGAGTACAGTGGTGCAGTCATAGCTCACTGCAGTCTGGAACTCTTGGGCTCAAGCGATCCTCCCATCTCAGCCTCCCAAGTAACTGGGACTACATGTGTGCACCACCATGCCCAGCTAATTTTTATATTTTTTTTCGTAGAAATAGGATGTTGTCCAGGCAGGTCTTGAACCCCTGAGCTCAAGCGATCCTCCCATCTCAGCCTCCTGAGTAGCTGGGACTACATGTGTGCACCACCATGTCCAGCTAATTTTTATATATTTTTTCGTAGAAATAGGATGTTGTCCAGGCAGGTCTCGAATCCCTGAGCTCAAGTGATCCTCCCACCTTGGGCTCCCAAAGCACTGAGATTACAGGCATGTAATCACTGCGCCCAGTCTTGCGCTGTGCTTTTAACACAAACAGAGATGTGTGCACACAAAATAATAGTAAACAGGGCAGGAGGAGTCTTTGGGAGGTGATGGATGTGTTCATAGATTTGAGGTGGTATTGGTTTCACCATTGTATACTTTATCCCCAAACTTGTTGAAATGTAGACATGAAATATATACAGCCTTTTTTTTTTTTTTAACATGCCAACCAGACTTCAATAAAGTGGTTTTAAAAAGCAAGATCAACCCAGTGGTAAACGTGGTGAACCCAACCCCCGCCTCTCTAGCTTGCTGAGCTGTGAAAGAGGAAGAAGCCAGGAGCACAGCCACTGTTGGCTCCGTGCCTAATGACTGAAGCCTTCTATAAGTTGGGTTTGTTATCATGTTTGGCTCCTGGACTGGATTGTTTTCTTTCCTTTCTAAGACATTTGAAGTCCTTTGATGAGCTGATGTTTATAGTTCATGTTCTTTCATGCCAAACGAGCACTTATTATTATCTAGAATTACAAAAGCATTTGGTGTTTTCCAAGCTTAGGTGGCCAGCTTCAGAATCCAAGAAGGGATGACTTTATACCGTACAGGGAGGTTGGAAAAAGTCAGAAGTAAATCAGATTTCTGACAGTTTAGTAATATTTAAAATTTATTAGAGAAGAGACCAAAAGGAAACTTCTGATGAATTTTCTTTCTTTTTTTTCTGGGTAAAATGAAATCATTCACATTCTGCCATGAGTATAATTGCCTCTATTCTAGGCAATTTCTGTATTGTAAATTGAGCTTTTGTGTTGGTGATTTTAGAATAAGGCATGCCTGTAACATAAATGCGTACTTGCTTTGGATCCTCTGCCTAGTTTTCCTGACTTTTCCTTCGATTCTTTTTCCTTGGCCACTTTTATTTTAATTGGACGGTGACTCATAAAGCAAGTGCATTCGAAGCTAGACCAAGATATTCAGGGACTGTCCCAAGAAACACGGGGCTGGCAGCCTCCCCAGCTGTAGGGGAAGCCATCGGTTTCCTCAACCAGTCCAACTGGCAAAAGGTAATGATAGTCTGCAGTGCTTTTTAACGCACTGGCGTGGTGAGGACGGGTTGTACGTCCCTTTGTTGCCAGTCCCGAGCAAATGAAACAATCTCTGTTCACAGCCTCATCCTACAGAGCATTCAGAAACCACTTCCCCTAGAGATCTTTAAAAATAGACCTGAAAACAGGCCTCTACCGCCTTGAGGGCTTTGGGGTGGGTCCTGCCTGGAAGCTGAGGAGGCCCTGACTGAGCCGGGAGCTTCTCTATCCTGGACAGCAGTCTCGGAACTCTGCCTTCAAGATTCCATCAGATCCTGAGGGCAGCTGGAGCCGCTGAATCCTGAATGACTTGGCAGAGAAGAAGCAACGACTCGATGACTCCATCGTAAGATTAGGCAGGACTTAAAGGTGTGAGGCTGTTGGCTCATTGAGATGAAAGGTAGCCTCCTTCTCTCTCCCCCGCGAGGTTTCACGTGGGCCTCCCTTGCCCAGAAGAACTAGGTGCACCGGCTGTAGATCTGGCTTTCATGCTGCTTGCGCAAATGGCCAGGCAGGGCCACTCCCGGGTCTTGGGGCCCAGCCCTCACCGCATGCTTGTCCCGATGGTCACTAAGGATGTGCATCTCCAACTATAAGGCAGGCCTGGAATATCAAAGGCAGATTCTTTTTTTTTTTTTGAGTTTTTCTTTAAAGTAATATGTACAGGATGTGCAGGTTTGTTACGTAGGTACACAATCATGTGTCGTGGTGGTTTGCTGCACCTAACGACCCATCACCTAGGTATGAAGACCGGCGTGCCTTAGCTCTTTTCCCTGATGCTCTCCCCTTCCCTGCCCTCCCCCAACGGGCCCCAGTGTGTGATGTTCCCCTCCCTGTGTCCATGTGTTTTCATTGTTCAGCTCTCACTTATAAGAGAACATGTGGTGTTTGGCTTCCTGTTCCTGGGTTGGTTGGCTGAGGATAATGGCTTCCAGCTCCATCCATGTCCCTGCAAAGGACATGATCTCCTTCCTTTTTATGGCTGCGTAGTATGCCATGGTGTATGTGTGCGATAGTTTCTTCATCTAGTCTGTCACTGACGGGCATTTGGGTTGATTCCATGTCTTTGGTATTGTGAATAGTGCTGCAGGGAACCTACGTGTGCATGTCTCTGTGGTGATTCCTCGAAGACTGAGAATCGGAAATACCATTTGACCCAGCAATCCCATTACTGGGTATATACCCCAGGGCAGATTCTTTTCCTCATGTGATTCTGGGAGGCGCCAAGCAGAAGGGCTCTGATCGGAGGGTTCTAGAAGTGAGGGGGCTTCTGGATTTCCGCGCAGGAGATGAACATGAAGGAAGGCTTACCAGGGACCCCATTCTGGAGACGGGACATTTTGGGTCCTGGGATCCAACCTTCCCCCCGTTCCTAGCCCACCACTCCTCAGTGTTTATCTTCTACCATTCAGGTTCTTGTCTCCACATTTCCAGGGCCCCACTGAGAAAGGCAGGGGCCACTCCAATAGCAAATTCACAATTAAAGGTGAACCGAAGCTCACATTCCTGTTCAGAGGTGGATGTCTTTTCTGGTTCTCTGTGCATTGTCATCCATGGATGCATTTACTCAACAAACAGCTATTAAACACCTACTGTGTGTACAGCCCAGACTCTGGGAGGGCGGCTGGGAGTCCACACCCCTGCCACTGGATGTGTGAGTGTGTGTGTCCATCTGTCTGTCTGTATAAGAGAGAGAGAGAGGAGAGAGGAGGGGTGTGCAATAAATGCACCATTTGAATCTGGTTTTAGCGGCAGTGGGTGCTGCCTACAAATAGTGTGGGTTCAAGTAAGTCCCCCTGGGCACATCCCTTCCTTGGCTGACTGTTGAAGGTCGCCATAGATACCGCTGCCTTTGGAAAGGAAGAAGCCCCTGAAGGACGCAGCATATTTAGAAGTCGCATGTGGAACACAGTGGGGCGGTGAGAGTTCTTTAAGGATTTATTGTACAAATTTACCTACCTAGGTCCGTGTACATGTTTCTATATGTACACCGAGCTCTAAAGGAGTCTTTCTCAGTAGCAATAAATAGCAGCACCTCCCTGTTTAGTCCCAGGGCCTCCAGGATCCCCTGGAAGGGAGGCCGGAGCGGGGCTAAGGGAACAGAGCTCTGTCCTGGGAACAGAGCTTGTTCCATCTGGCTATGACGTACGTTTTAATAACTCTGTTTCCTGCTGTCCTCAATCCGGTAGGTTAGGCTTCCCCTGTGGGCTGCCTGTCCTACATGGAAGCGCCTTGTACCTCGTTCTAGGCAGTATTTCAGGCTTAAATATCACCCTTCTCAAAGAATGTAAATGCTAGCGTGAGAGGACGCAGAGTTAGACAGATTGTGGATTTAAGTAGTGATTATACCACTTCTCAGAAATGCCTGCACAATGATTAGTACCACATATATATTGTATGGGGGTGGCTTAAATCTCCTGGGAAGAGAGACTTCAAATGCGGCGGCACTGGTTTTCAAACAAGATTAATTTAATGTCTGAGGGCCCATTCTAGCACTGGGAAGTCAAAGCTATCGTGACATGGATTGAACCATTTAACCCTGAAGTCATGGGCAGACACTTTTTCTGTTTCTAGAATGATTGAAAAGGAGAAGGAGGAGGAGGAGGAGGAGGTAGAGGAGGAGAGGAGGAGAGGAAGAAGAAAGAGAGAAGAAAAATCACACAAGGCCCTGCGACTGTTTTGCCAGGAGGAAAGAACTTCCCTTGGCCTCTTTACACCCTCTAGTTGAGCCCAAAAGAGACAGAGCTCTCCGGAACTGGGGTTTCTTGTGGCTTGGCCAGCCCTGCTAGGGTCCTCCGTGCTGGCTCACATTTTGTTTAAAGTTCCACCCTCGCTGGGATTTGATTTGCAACGTGTGTTGCCCCTAATGTGGTAATAAACACCCCAAAGTCATAACTGTTCCCACGATATTTGTTTTCTCCGTTCTTTTTTTTTTTTCTTTTCCTGAGACAGAGTCTTGCTCTGTCACCCAGGCTGGAGTGCAATGATGTGTTCACAGCTCACTGCAACCTCTGCATGCCAGGCTCAAGCCATCCTCCCACCCTGGGCCTCATGAGTAGCTGGGACCACAGGCGCACATCACCACATCTGGCTATATTTTTTGGTATCTTTGCTAGAGACAGGGTCTTGCTGTATTGCCCAGGTTGGTCTCGAACTCCTGAGCTCAAGCAATCCACCCACCTTGGCCTCCCGAAGTGCTGGGATTATAGGCATGAACCGCTGTGCCTGGCCTTTCCCTGCATTCTTTATTCTGCCTGGTGTCTGCCTCAGGAAGTTCACCGACTAATGGAACAAACATGCACAATCATACAAGGAAGCTGGGGGTGCCAGGAGGGCTGCACTAAGGCCTTGAGGCCCCCTACGTCAGGGGTCTGCCCAGACTCTGCGTGGCCTCCGACTGGGTGGGTAAATCCAATCCAGGGTTGGTATTAGGAAACCACTTGTTTGCAAGTATTAGAAGCCACATTCTCCAATATCAGTTTTGTAAAGAATAGAGCTGATGCATTTGGTCTCCATCTGTCTAGATTCTTTGTCTCATCTCTCAGTGGGCTCAGAACTTAGAATGGCAGGGTGCTCTTTTGGGGGCCACATTGAACTCCAGTAGTGACAGTTAGATCGGCCCTGAAGTCTGACAGTTAAAAGAAAAGGAATGTCAGGCCAATGCAATGTATCCAAAATGGCGGCCTCCGAAGTTGAGAAACGGTGGGTGAACTTTCCTGGCACAGGGAACCAAAAACACAGAGGCTTAGAAGTGGGAAGGCACAAGAGTGTTTGAAGACTATGAAACCCCGAAGCTGCTGGAATGCTGGGTGAGGAAAGAGGGGTTGAGAAGAAGCTGGAGAAATAGCCAGACCAATTCACGCAGGGGTTGCAAGGCCACAGAAAAGTTTGCATTGTATTCTAAGTGCTATAGGAAGCCGCTGAAGGATCTTAAGCAGGGCAATGATGCGGGTTTATTGACTCCTTCAGAAGTCATTCTTTTAACTCTGTAGAGAATGATCTGGCTGTGGGCCTTGAGAATAGACAAAGAGAGAACACTCAGGAGACTTTTGCACTAGTCCAGGGCAAGTCTAGATGATGCTAATACAGACTATGATAGCCGGAATGAACCACTAGAGGGAAATCCTCAGATGGGAAAGATCACTGGGAGAGCGAAGCCCCAGAATCTGCTGATGAATTGGATGTCAGGGGAGAGGGAAGAACTGGGGATGAATCCTAAGTTCTGGCTTGATGAATGGATGGATGTTGATGCCATTGATAGGGATGTGAAGACAGGGAGGAGCCTGGGGAAGACCTTTACATTTCAGGCATTCTAAGACTTCTTAGAGGCAAGGTGGGGTAAGCAGTTGGATACAGGAGCCGACACTCAGGGGGTCTTGAGGAACCTTGGCATTGAGAGGCATGTGTGGGAGGACACTCATGCAGAGGGGACAAGTGACCACATCCATGTCATCCTGCCTGGACAGTCATTTGGCTAGAGGACACTAATGACGCAGCTATTGTGTATTATTCAGCAGGGCTTGGGGCTGGATGATATAGACAGCTTCCTTTGGAAAATTCTGTCTAGCAAGCCTAGCATTATAGAGGATTATTGCATGATTTCATTTTGGGGAAATTTTTATAACTTCTAGGATATTTTTCCTTCTCTGTACCACAGGTAGTTGTCAATCATTTTCTCATTGAGGGCAAAAGTCGTGGAAGGCTTTTTATTCATTATAATTAATGTCCTTTGAGAAAAGACCCTTTAATTAATATTCCTATCGGGCACAGAGCTTTTTAAAGACCCATTCCCTCCCTAACACACACACAGCTGTGTTTTATAGTCTAATTGTCACCTAGCCAAGGGACCCCACAGGGATCTGCAATTTGTCCCACCTCTGCCCTGCCACGCTTCCCTGCAGCACTCCTAACTGCTGAATCCCGTTCAGCCCCATGAAAGGGGTGGCCGATATTTAAAGTTCATTTCAGGAAGGTTTCATAATAAGAACTGGGGAAAATAACATAATCTCGTTTTAAAACATTTCCTTCCTCTGTTCTGCTGATAGAATCAAACAATCCAGAGTTCCATCTGTCCTGTCACAGGTCCAGATTTTAGGATGTGGTTTTGAAGTTATTTGTTTTCTTTGTTTCTGGGCCCCTCTGGTGGGATTGCCTCCCCTTCTGGATGGGCGCAGGCTGTACCACTTGACCCTTGGATTTGCAATTCCAGGAGGAAAATAATGAGCCAGCACTGTCGGAAAATGTCACTCTGTCCCAGTGATCAGTCTCTAAGACTGGAGAGGGAAGTCAAGCTTGAAACGGCAGAGTGGATTTTCTCTTCGAGGAGCACTTTTACAGGTAATAGAGGCCGGGCACTGTGGTTCATGCCTGTAATCCCAGCACTTTGGGAGGCCGAGGCAGGTGGATTGCTTGAGGTCAGGAGTTTGAGACCAGCCTGACCAATATGGTGAAACCCCATCTCTACTAAAAATACAAAAATTAGCCAGGCATAGTGGCACGCGTCTGTGATCCTAGCAACTCAGGAGGCTGAGGCAGGAGAATCGCTTGAACCTGGGAGGCAGAGGTTGCAGTGAGCCAAGATCACACCACCTCACTCCACTCCAGCCTGGGTGACAGAGCAAGACTCCATCTCAAAATAAATAAATAAATAAATAGATAAATAAATGTAATAAGGAAACACACAAACATATGATGAAGCAACAACCATAATAAAAATCCAAATGTGCCAAATCTGTAAGTAACGTGCCAACATGCACTGCGGTTTGTTGGTCTCAGCATACAAAAGCCTTACCAGGGCTTTTGTATGACGTGATCTCAGTGCTGGATGAAGGTGGGAAGGGATTGCTCCCTGCAGCTCTGTCAATTGCTCCTTTCCTGGTTTCCAGCAAGCCCATCTCTTTCCCTTCTGCTTTCAGTGCAAGGGTAGGCACACTTTTTCTGAAAGGAGCCAGATAGAAAATATTTTATTTTATTTTATTTTGAGACAGGGTCTCACTGTGTCACCCCGGCTGGAGTGCAGGGGCACAATCACAGCTCACTGCAGCCTCAACCTTGGGGTGTGAGCCATCCTCTCACCTCAGTCCTCTGTGTAGCTGGGATTACAGGAATGCACCACCATGCCCAGCTAATTAAAAAAATTTTTTTGTCCAGCCTGGCCAACATGGCAAAACCCCATCTCTACTAAAAATACAAGAATTAGGTGGGCGTGGTGGTGTGCACCTGTAGTCCCTGCTACTTGGGAGGCTGAGGCAGGAGAATCGCTTGAACCCAGGAGATGGAGGCTGCAGTGAGCTGAGATTGCACCACTGCACTCCAGCCTGGGTGACAGAGCAAGACTTTGTCTCAAAAAAAAAAGGCTGGGTGTGGTGGTTCATGCCTGTAATCCCAGCACTTTGGGAGGCCCAGGTGGGTGGATCACGAGGTCAAGAGATTGAGACTATCCTGGCCAATATGGTGAAACGCTGTCTCCTATTTTTTGTATGCTCCTAATTTTGTACTAAAAGTATAAAAATTAGCTGGGCATGGTGGTGGGTGCCTGTAGTCCCAGGTACTTAAGAGGCTGAGGCAGGAGAATCACTTGAACCCTGGAGGCAGAGGTTGCAGTGAGTTGAGATCGCGCCATTGCACTCTGGCCTGGTGACAGAACAAGACTTAATCTCAAAAAAAAAATTTTTTTTTTTGTAGAGACGAAGTCTTGCTGTGTTGCCCAGGCTGGTCTCGAACTCCTGGGCTCAAACGATCCTCCCTCCTCAGTCTCCCAAAGTGCTTAGATTACAGGTGTGAGCTATGGCGCCCGGCCAGGAAATATTTTAGACTCTGTGGACCACACAGTCTCTTTCACGCTGACTCAACTCCGTCCTGCAGCCTGAAAGCAGCCACAGACAATATGTGAACAGCTGAGGGTGACTGCGCTCCAGTGAAACTATTTCTGGGTGTTGAAATTTGAATTTCAAATAATTTTCACATGTCATGAAGTAGTGTTCTTCTTTTGGTTTTTTTTTTTTAACCATTTCAAAATGTAAAAACATTCTTAGCCCATGTGTTGCACAAAACCGGGCAGCAGGCAGGATAGATCTGGCTCACGGGCTGCGGTTTCCCGACTCTTCCTTTTTCTTTTTTTTGAGACAGAGTCTCGCTCTGTCACCCAGGCTGGAGTGCAGTGGCGCAATCTCAGCTCCCTGCAATCCTGCCTCCCGGGTTCAAGCAATTCTCCTGTTTCAGCCTCCGAGTAGCTGGGATTATAGGTGTGCGCCACCACACTTGGTTAATTTTTGTATTTTTAGTAGAAACAGGGTTTCACCATGTTGGCCAGGCTGGTGTCAAACTCCTGGCCTCAAGTGATCCTCCTGTTTTGGCCTCCCGAAGTGTTGTGATTACAGGCGTGAGCCACCGTGCCTGCCCTGACACTTCTTAGTTTGTGGCTTTTGTGCAGATTTCCCCCTGGCAATTGGGGTCTTGTGGCTTCATGTTTGCCACCCTGATCAAAATCCCCTCTCTACCAGAGTCTCACTCTGTCGCCCAGGCTGGAGTGCAGTGGCACAATCTCGGCTCACCGCAGCCTCTGCCTCCCGGGTTCAAACAGGGATACAAGTGCCAGTTTCTAGCAGAGTGTGATAGAAAGTGGGGAGGACCCGTCTCATTCCTATTTGTTTATTCTTCACTGATTTTCCCCCACTGCTTCTGCCTCTGCGCATCTCCTCTGCTGGATGTTGACTTCCTAAGGTTCTACTTTCTTTCATACACTCCGTCATCCCTGTGAGCTCTAAATGCCCTTACAAGTGTCTCGTCAGACCTCATGGTTGGCCGGACTTTGTGGCTCAGGCCTGTTATCCCAGCACTTGGGAGGCCAACGCAGGAGGATTGCTTGAGGCAGGAGTTTGAGACCAACCTGGGCAACATAGTGAGACCTCATCGCTACAAAAATTTAAAAAAATAGCCAAGTGTGGTGGTGCACACCTCTGGCCCCAGCTACTTGGGAGGCTGAGACAGGCAGATCCCTTGAGCCCAGGGGTTTGAGGCTGCAGTGAGCCATGATTGTGCCACCGCACTCCAGCCTGGGCAACAGAGTGAGATTCTGTCTCTAAAAAACAAACAAAAGAACTCACAGTTTTGTTCCCCCCATGTCTCAAACCCATGGTGGCCAAATGCAACCCAAACTGTCTGTGGGACACAGGTTTGCGGCAAAATGAGAAAAATGGGGATGACGAAGGAAGTTTTCCATAAGGCTAAATTTGTTCTCTTTAAAAGAGTACCTTTTATTCTAAGATGATGCCTTTTATACCTTTTGGGAATTACAGTGTCTGGTTCTTCATGAAAGTGGATGATGGTAATTCACAAACAAAAAAGTCACTCGTGCAAACTGCCTTTTTTCTTTTGAGAATTTTACTAAATTTTGAAATCCAAAAGACTGAGAACATCAGTCTGATTATGACTTCCAAGCCTGCATTTCCAACCTCAACTTCTCTCCTGGGTTCCAGACCCATAGATCTTAACTACCCAGTGGACATCTTACCTGGATACGCGGTAAGCACCTCCAATGCAGCATAGCTAACTGGAAATGTTTTATCTTCCTGGTCCTCCTTCCTCTCATCTCTCCTTCCCACCCCTCCTTGAAGTAAGCCCAGGTTTCTGCCTTCTACCTGGATCCCCCAGCAAGGTTCAGAATTTTCCTCTGCCCATAATCACTCAGGCTAGAACCGTGGAGTTCTATTTCACTCTTGCTGCTTTCTCTCCATGTCTGATCGGTTGTGGAGTTGTGTTGATTTGACCTCAGATGAGTCTATTGTGTGTGTTCTCTCCCCTGTATCTCCACCACCTCTTCTTTCAGTGTTTAATGGTTTCTTCCCAAGTGCTCTCTGCTCTATCAGCATTCTCTCTGGTGCCCAATCCACTATCATCAGTAGTCATTGTTCTTGCGCTGCTATAAAGAAATACCTGAAACTGGGTAATTTATAAGAAGAGAAGTTTGATTGGCTCACGGTTCTGCAGGCTGTACAGGAAGAATGGCAGCATCTGCTTCTGGTGAGCCTCAGGAAGCTTCCAATCACGGTGGAAGGAAAATGGGGAGCCAGCACTTCACATGGCCGAACAGGAGGAAGAGAGCGAGGCAGGAGGTGCCACACACTTTTAAACAGCCAGATCTCATGAAAACTCATTGACTATCACCAAGACAATCCCCAAGAGGGTAGCACTAGAACATTCATGAGAAATCTGCCCCCACGATCCAATTACCTCCCACCAGGCCCCACCTCCAGCATTGGGGATTACATTTCAACATGAGATTTGAGGGGGGACACAGATCCAAACCATATCAGTCATCTTCCTAAAAGAGACTTGATATGTCAATCACCTGCTCAAAGAAACCATCAAGTTCAATAGAATGGAGCTATGGGTTCCTCATTCTAGTACTCAAGGCCCTCTGTGATTCTCCCCCAGCCACTTTGCTATGCTCATTTTAGATTCCTCCTCCCCTGACGTTCCCTATTCCTATCATTCTAGATGCTTTCATTGTTGAATATCCTTGGCTGCCATCTTTCTTCCTTAGCTAATGTATGTCTCTTATTTAGAATTCCCTTACTCTCTCCAAGTAACTGAATCCTTTTCTATCTTCAAGACCTAACCTAAATGTCAGTGTTCCTTGAATTTGTCCAGACCTGTCTCTTCCCCGAACAACAATCAAAGCAATCTTTTCCCAATGCTAAGTGGAGTATTTCTTGCCTTGTCTTGAAGCCCTATACTGGCTACCCATTGCTCTTATAATAAAGATAAACACTCTTAGCATTGCCTGCAAGGCCATGGTACATCTGCCCACACTGGACTTTCCAACCTCATTCCTCACCACCCCTGTGATGGTTAATTTTTTGTGTCAACTTGACTGGGCCTGGATATTGGATCAAACATGATTTCTGGTGTGCCTGCAAGGGTGTTTTTGCATGAGATTATTATTTTTTTTTTTGAGACAGAATCTTGCTCTGTCTCCCAGGCTGGAGTGCAGTGGTGGGATCTCAGCTCATTGCAACCTCTGCTTCCTGGGTTCAAGTGATTCTCCTGCCTCAGCCTCCCAAGTAGCTGGGATTACAGGCACCAGCCACCATGCCTGGTTAACCTTTGTATTTTTAGTAGAGATGTGGTTTCACCGTGTTAGCCAGGCTGGTCTTTAACTCTTGGCCTCAGGTGATCCACCCACCTCACCTTCCCAAAGTGCTGGGATTACAGGCGTGAGTTACCGTGCCTGGCCTGAAATTACGTTTTTAATGCCTGTGTCCCTTTTCAGACTCTAAACTTCTTGAGGGCAGGGTCCTTGACTATCTTGTTCCTCCCTGTAGCCTCAGCACATAGCACAGGGCCATCAATGTGATTCAAGGATTTTTGCTCCTTAGTTCAGCTTAATCCGAGTTCTTGTCTCACAGCCTGCGGACACATTGAAGGGTGAGGAGGGGCAGAATTGATTAAGCAAAAGGAAAGCTCTCAGTCAAAGGAGGGGTCCTGCCTGCAGGCTTCTGCCTCACAAATTAAATACTGGGCTGCCACCCAGGACTCCTAAAGGCCAGGCTCCTCCCCTGCTTAAGGGGAATTCCTGGTGGGTCCACCCCATTCTTCCAGTGGGCAGGTGGGCCCTTAGTCTGAGCCACTCCCCATTGGTTTATTTCCCTTACTGCGCAGGTGTGAAGGGATGGAATTTTTCACCGTGGTCGTGTTTAGATAAGCCCCCTGTGCACAATGACCTGTGCAGGTCAGGGGTTCTCTGGAGACCCTTCCCTATTGGCCTGGCCATTTGACTGTCTCCTGCCTCTATCAAATGGCGGAATGAATGAGTGACTAGATCCTGTGCTTGTGGCTGGAATGACACTGAAGTGATTACTTTCTGCAGAAGATAACAAAATCGTCAGGGTCAGAAAAGAAGTCTACTGCCTGCCTGCTGTAATCTGTGTTAAGAAATGTCAATCCTGAAGAAAAAGATGTTTTTCATCTTTTCCTTCCAGTTAAAAAAAAAAATCACTATTACTGTATCACAGCTAAGATAAAATTCAATCTAATTAAGGCGACAAGGTGTTTCCGGTTGGATGATCTTGCTTGTCGTGGTTCTTAAAGTGTGTGCCCAGCTGGATGGTAATAAATGACTAAGAATCAGGGCAGATGAAATCCTAATTTTTGTTTCTTCATGTCTATTTGTCTCCCACTTTCCATAATGACTTCCATATGGTGATAAACATGATTTATAGCTGTGTTTTTTAGTTAAATGTGCGAATTGTGGCTCTCTGACACGCCTCTTTGTTTTTACTTTGCAGTTTTCATAGGAAGCAGGTTGTTCTCCGGCACTGAGCGCCCCCCGAACGCTGGGCAAAATGAAGCTGAATTCACAGCTGCTGAGTTTCCCACGGGCCAACCACACCATTGCTCCGAAAGACCTTGAAGTTCCCTCCTTCCACCTCCTCCACTTCTTACCTTCCTTCTTCCTCCCACACACTGACTTGGCCAGTCTCCATCAGAGGTTTGGAATGGGATATTTCTCTCATTCACCTATGGCATAAGAAGTTCTGTTTGCAGTATTACAAAGGACACCAGAGGAACTTAACTGCAGAAATGGGTCCCCGTATAGGAGGCTTTGTTCCTCCCTGTAGCCTCAGCACACAGCACAGGGCCACATAGGAGGCCATCGATTTGTTGACAAATGTATCTTGTGGGTCTTCTTGAGATCTGTGCCATGGTAGATGCTAGAGAGCTACAGAGGCACAGCGTCGTCTGTCTGTTTCTAATGAATGAATATTTAGTGGATACTTGTCGTGTGCAATGCGGAAGACAGCCGAGGGAGCTGGAAAACTCATCCATTGAAGTGGGGCATATTGGGAAGAAAGGGAGGAAGAAAGGAAGAAAGGGAGGAAGGAAGGAAGGAAGGAAGAAAGGAAGGAAGGAGGGAGGGAGGGAGGGAAGGAAGGAGGGAGGCAGAAAAGCCAGGTAGGAAACTTGCTGTTTTCTGGTGTGAGTATGCAGTGTCCACATTGATAAATTGTAAAGAAAACACAAAACCCTCACAGGTCCCTTTTCTGCTTGGGGTCCCTGTGCCTGGCTGCCCAGATGTCTGGGGTAGCACTGTTCCGCCAATATCTTCAGTGCCTACTCCCTTACCTTCTTCAAGTCTTTCCTCAAATATTACCTCCTCCATGAAGCCTCTCTGATTATGCTATTTAAAATTGCAATCCAGCTGGGCATGGTGGCTCATGCCTGTGATCCCAGCACTTTGGGAGGCTGAGGCGGGCAGATCACTTGAGGCCAGAAGTTCAAGACCAGTCTGACCAACATGGTGAAACACTGTCCCTTCTAAAAGTACAAAAATCAGCCAGGCGTGGTGGTGTGCACCTGTAGTCCCAGCTACTCAGGAGACTTGAGGAAGGAGAATTGCTTGATCCTGGGAGGCGGAGGCTGCAGTGAGCCGAGATTGTGCCACTGCACTCCACCCTGGGCGACAGAGCGAGACTCCATCTTAAAAAAAAAGAAAAAATTGCAATCCACACCCCAAAACGTGTCCTGCTTTGCATTTGCAAATCCTCTTTGACCTTCCCAACTGTTTCTTCTTTTATAGACTTACCATCTGCCCACATACTACAGGTACACCTAGTTTTGTTTTGTTTTTTGTTTTTTTTTTTTGAGACAGAATCTTGCTCTGTCACCCAGGCTGGAGTGCAGTGGCACGATCTTAACTCACTGCAACCTCTGCCTCCCGGGTTCAAGCAATTCTCCTGCCTCAGCCTCCCTCGTACCTGGTACTATAGGCACATGCCACCATGCCCGGCTAATTTTTTGCATTTTAGTAGAGACGGGGTTTCACTGTGTTGCCCAGGCTGGTCTCGAACTCCTGAGCTTAGGCAATCTGCCCACCTCAGCCTCCCAAAGTGCTGGAATTACAGGCGGGAACCACTGTGCCTGGCCAGGCCCACCTCGTTTTACTGTGTGTCCCTTTATTATGCTTTTCAGATACTGTACTTTTTACAAATGGAAGGTTTGTGGCAATCCTGCATGGAGCAAGCCTATTGGTGCCGTTTTTCCAAGACCCATGTGCTCACTTCGTGTCCCTGTGTCCCATTTTGGTAATTGTCACGGTATTTTAAGCTTTTTCATCATCGTTATATCTGTAATGGTGATGTGCGATCTCTGCTGTGACTATCGTAATTGTTTCGGGGCACCAAGAATCGTGCTCATAAAATGGGGAACTTAATCGATAAATGGTGTGTGTGTTCTGACTCTCCCACTGATGGCTGCTCCCTGTCTGTCTCCCTCTCCTTACACCTGCCTATTCCTGAGATATAAAAAAATTGAATCAGGCCAGTTAGTACCCTACGATGGCCTCTAAGTGTTCAAGTGAAAGGAAGAGCGTTGCACATCTGTCACTTTAAATCGCAAGCTGGACATGATGAAGCGTAGTGAGGAAGGCATGTCCAAAGCCAAGACAGGCTGAAAGCTAGGCCTCTTAAACCAGTTAGCTGAGTTATGAATGAAAAAAAGTTCATGGGGCTGGGTGTGATGGCTCATGCCTGTAACCCCAGCACTTTGGGAGGCTGAGCTGGCCTTGAGGCCAGGAGTTTGAGACTAGCCTGGCCAACATAGTGAAACCCCCATCTCTACTAAAAATACAAAAATTAGCTGGGCATGGTGGCACATGCCTATAGTCCCAGCTACTCAGGAGGCTGAGGCAGGAAGATTGCTTGAATCTGGAAGGCAGAGGCTACAGTGAACCAAGATCGCGCCACTGCACTCCAGCCTGGGCGACAGAGTAAGACTCCGTCTCAAAAAAAAAAAAAAAAAAAAAAAAGTTCTTGAAGGAAATTAAAAGTGCTACTCCAGTGAACCCATGAGTGATCAGAAAGCAAAACAACCTTACTGCCGATTATGGAGAAATCAGTGATCAGTCAGTAGCCATCAACATCGAGGCACAGCCCTCCACCAGCTGAAAGAGTTGCAGAAGGCTTAGATGATGGTTAACATATATATATATATATTTTTAGCAGTAAGTTATTTTAAAAATTAAGATAGGGCCAGGTGTGGTGGTTCATGCCTGTAATCCCTTTGGGATTTGGGAGGCCTTTGGGAGGCCAAGGCGGGCGGATCGCGAGGTCAGGAGATTGAGACCATCCTGGCTAACATGGTGGAACCCCGTCTCTACTAAAAAATACAAAAAATTAGCCTGGCATGGGTGGCGGGTGCCTGTAGTCCCAGCTACTCGGGAGGCTGAGGCAGGAGAATGGCGTTAACCCAGGAGGCGGAGCTTGCAGTGAGCGAGATTGTGCCACTTCACTCCAGCCTGGACAACAGAGTGAGACTCCATCTCAAAAAAAAAAAAAAAAAAATTAAGATAGTATATACATTGTTTTTTTAGACATAATATTATTGCACACTTAATAGATGCTAGTAAAGCATCAACATGATTCTTATATGCACTGGGAAACCAAAAAAATTGAGTGGCTTGCTTTATCGTGATACTCACTTTAATACAGTGACCTAGAACTGCAATATCTCCGAGGTCTGCTTGTATATAATACACTTATTTATTGTGGATATGAGTTATGTTTGCTCCCATCCCCACTAGAGTGTAAGCTCTGCAAAGGTTTATCCGTCTTATTCGCTGGTGTATCTTAAGTGCCTAGAACAGTGCCTGGCATGTGATAGATGCCATTGGCATCCAAGTGGCAGGAGTTTGGATGATTGCGGTCTGGACTTCCGATGCTAAAATCAGGGAATGAATGGAGGAAGTGAGACTCTGGATGAAACAGGAGCAGGTCAAATTTAGACAACAGAAGGCCATAGGGATGCATACCCGCAGTGGGGTGCCCTACAGGCAGAGGTGCAAATAAAATGTAGGTGAGAAGCCCAGCCCATGGGTCCTGGAGAACTAGGTTGAAGTGGGAGGGAAGGGGCGGGAGGCTGAGAACCGGGAAAGCTGAGCAGAGGCGTGCGGACTCTTTGTGGTGAGCTGTGAAGAGGCTTGGGAATGGCGAGATAAAAGCTTTGTTTTAGAAGAGCTATGCAGTTGCTAAATATAGGCTGGACTGCAAAGTGGAGTCAGAGAAAGCCAGAGATGTCTGCTGGGAAGTTGTTAGCCAGAGGCCAGAGAAGGTCTGAACAAAGTGATCATAAAAGATCATCTGAAATAGATTTTGGAAGAAGCAACAGATTTTTTTTCTAACTTTTTATTATGAAAAGTTTCAAGCATACAAGAATATGTAATAGTTATCACCACTCATATACATATGTGTGTAATACATACGTGTGTGTGATTCAACAGCTCCAACAACTGAATTTTAATTGGATTTTATTTTATTTACCAAAAACCTACAAATGGTGGGTCACAGTAGGTACATTCTATATACAGAAAACATTTTTCTAATTGTTACAAGACCTAAGATTCAACATCGGATCATATTTTCTTATTATAATTTCGATAGAGTCAAGACTATAACAGCATTTTAAGCATTCTAGGTCCTTGAATACAAAACTCTGTGCAAAGGCACCATTCATTAAATTACTGATTAAGGGAATGGGATGCTGTTTGGCTTAGTGTGCCTGTGATTGTAATTTTTGGCAGCAAAACAGGTTTTATTGGTTGTGTTTTGAGATAGGGTCTCTGCTTGTCACCCAAGCTGGAGTGCAATGGCACAGTCTCAGCTCAGTTTAGCCTCCACCTCCCGCGCTTGAGGGATCCTCCTACTGCAGCCTCCTGAATAGCTGGGAACACAGGCACGCACCATCTTGCCGGCTGATTTTGTTTATTTTTTTTGCAGAGACGAGGTCTCACTATATTGCCTGGGCTGGTCTTGAATGCCTGAGCTCAAGCGATCCTCCCACCTCAGCCTCCCAAAGTGCTGGGATTACAGGCAGGAGCCACTGCACCTGGCCACAGCTACTGCGCTCGGCCAAGAAAATAGTTTTTAAACATTCATGTTTGCTGCAGAGAGATGAAAAAATATTGTTTTGTTCCCCTTTACAGAAAACAAAAGCTTCTGTGATTAATATTTTATGCCAAACATCCTCTGAGGGTGAAGAGCCCTTCTATGCTTCCCCATTCTAACCTCTCATTTGGAAAAGGAAAAAGGTGAAAGAGTGAAATTGAAGGCGAAACTACTGAGGAAAATGATACTTAGCCTGACGTGTTGTTACTTCGTATTTCCAGCTTTCTTCCTTTCTCTAGTTTCTGGTTTTTTTGTTTGTTTGTTTGGTTTCTCAGCCTGACCCCTTTCTATGTCAATTCTAGGCCCGGGAGAAGCTGCGTTTCTCCTGGATGACTTGTTCAGAAGCCAATTCAGTAAATTCAAACTGTTCCAGAGTCCCTGTTTTAAAACCACAGATGCCGTGGACCCAGTAAGGTTGAGCTGTACTGTGGTAAAGTGCTTTGTGTTCTTTACGTAATGAAACTCCCCAGATCAAGGACTTGGCATTGAGCTTTTGAACTATAGATGGTCGTGTTCCAGTGAGGATCCTGGCCACTTAGTTCCCAGAATCCTTGACCCTGGGCTTGTGAATTCCTCATTCTGAGAGGGTCTGGATGGTATTAGTGAGTACTACGCTGTTTCCAAGTAGATGGCTGGAGCCTCCAGCTAATAGACCTAAAGGGTCAAACGGTCTGAAAGTGGAGTGCGTGAGGGAGAGGACTGGCCCATTCTTTGGGAAGATGTTCCGTCCTTCACTTACGATCCCTCATTCTATTTATTTGTCTGGCTCATGAGAGGACAGATGTTCTTGTTCCTTTTTCTCATTCTTTTAAAATTCATTTTTAATTGGATGTTTAACACATGAATACACTCTCGTTGTAAACAAAATTCAATCAGATAAAGACAAAAATCTCCCTTGATTCTTGCTGTAGTCTGAAACTGTCCCTCAGGTTGTTCTTCTTTTTTTTTTTGATAGGATCTCAGAATTGAAAGGGCCTTGAGAATTATTTAGTCTTTCTTCGTTTTTTTTTTTTGCATTTTTTTAGTATTATACTTTAAGTTCTAGGGTACATGTGCACAACGTGCAGGTTTGTTACATATGTATACATGTGCCATGTTGGTGTGCTGCACCCATTAACTCGTCATTTACATTAGGTATATCTCCTAATGCTATCCCTCCCCCCTCCCCCCTACCCACAATAGGACCCGGTGTGTGATGTTCCCCTTCCTGTGTCCAAGTGATCTCATTGTTCAGTTCCCACCTATCAGTGAGAACATGCGGTATTTGGTTTTCTGTTCTTGCGATAGTTTGCTGAGAATGATGGTTTCCAGCTGCATCCGTGTCCCTACAAAGGACATGAACTCATCCTTTTTTATGGCTGCATAGTATTCTATGGTGTATATGTGCCACGTTTTCTTAATCCAGTCTGTCACTGATGGACATTTGGGTTGATTCCAAGTCTTTGCTATTGTGAATAGTGCCACAATAAACATACGTGTGCATGTGTCTTTATAGCAGCATGACTTATAATCCTTTGGGTATATCCCCAGTAATGGGATGGCTGGGTCAAATGGTATTTCTATTCTAGATCCTTGAGGAATTACCACACTGTTTTCCACAATGGTTGAACTAGTTTACAGTCCCACCAACAGTGTAAAAGTGTTCCTGTTTCTCCACATCCTCTCCAGCACCTGTTGCTTCCTGATTTTTTAATGATTGCCATTCTAACTGGTGTGAGATGGTATCTCACTGTGGTTTTGATTTGCATTTCTCTGATGGCCAGTGATGATGAGCATTTTTTCATGTGTCGGCTGTATGAATGTCTTCTTTTGAGAAATGTCTGTTCATATCCTTTGCCCACTTTTTGATGGGGTTGTTTGTTTTTTCTTGTAACAAGGTTCTTATGTAGAATCTTTTTTTTTTTTTTTTTTTTTTTCCTGAGACAAAGTCTCGCTCTGTTGCCCAGGCTGGAATGCAGTGGCTCAATCACAGTTCAGTACAGCCTTGAACTCCTGGGCTCAAGCAATCTTCCCACCTTAGCCTCCCAAGTAGCTGGGACCACAGGCATGCACCACGTGGTGCCTGGGTAATTTTTAAAATTTTCTGTAGAGACAGGGTCTCCCTGTATTACCCAGGCTGGTCTCAGCAGTCTTCCTGCCTCAGCCTCCCAAAGTGCTGGGATTACGGGTGTGAGCCACTGTGCTCATGTCTTATGTAGAAACTTACTAGCCAATGGGATAGTATTAAAAGATGGTGCCTTTAGGAGGTGATTTGATCATTTAGGGCCCTTAGAAAAGGGTGTGAAGGAGTGGATTCCTTCCCTTTTCCATCCCTTCTTCCAGGTGAGGATGCAGTGTTTGTCCCCTCCAGGAGACAGTGTTCAAGGTGCCATCTTGGAAGCAGAGACCAAGCCCTCACCATACTAAACTGGCTAGCACTGTGATCTTGGACTTGCCAGCCTCCACAACAGTGAGAAATAAATTTCTATTGCTTATAATTTACCCATTCTGTGGTATTTTGCTGTAGCAGCTCAAATGGACTTAGACACTTCCCCAGCTACCAGCCCACTTCCTCCTGATTCTATTTTCAGTTTGGTATAATCTGTCCAGATTTTCTTGTCTGC